TTTAGTGCAAATTTAGAATATAGGGAGATCACAAACCCTACTGACTACCACTCTGGACAACAGCTGCGGTAATGCACACAATAGTTTTCAGCCTCTACTGTGTTCCAGAGAATGTTTGTTCATACTCCGGCTGAACGCACTGTGACCTTGGGCAAATGATAAAATAATCTAAGTGGGGATATGCATTAGCAGGTATCGTTCAAAGTTTAGCAGTGATGGCATACAGAGGAAGCTGTTACTGGTGCAAACTTACTTGGAAACAACCCAAGACGTTGACAGCACAATTTTTTGTCATTTGTTGGGTTCTCTCTCGAGCAGGACACCGTACTGAGGACGTTCAGTGGTCGGGCCGGTAAATGGTTAGGTCATTTTATGGAAAACGGTGACGCAAAATGATTATAGCACCACCAAACACGAAGGTGGTTCTAAATGAACTTCACCAAAACACTGACTTTTGGCGCCAATTCTAACTGGACTAATGTAGAAATAGTTTTGCAAGTCCCCCAAAACATGTAAATGATTTAGCAAGTGAACATTCATTTCTACATAATGAGCTATTCAATGGATTAGGCTGGATGGGGTGTGGGGTTTCTACGCAAGACAAACTCACGAATAGTAAATCTGTGTTGCGTGTTTCTATAACTCACTAGCTATTGCACTGGTTTTAAGCCTGGAAAGTAGATCAGAAGGCCTTACTCTATCAATGCAATCGATGAGCTTTCAGATGGATCTTTGAATCGTCGCATTCCTTCTCATCTTCTATTTAAATGTTCTGCAGAGAACAGAAAGGAATAGTTTGGCAAAGGAACTTGCAGTTACTAATTTACGTGTGACTGTGTATTCAGGGTTGATCCAGAATATACTGTTTTCGATTAGCGAAAAGTCATTTGAGCGTTATAACCCGAATTCTGATCATAAACAATTAGAACGAATGAATTACTGGATGTCATCACAGATGTACTGAAATCAGGAATTCACCTGTCGGTCCACTTATCACTTTTTGCACCACATTAACTGGAATGATTACAAAGACTTTGAGTATGATATTAAAGTTCAGAAAGCCTTCAGATTATGGGAATATGGACGGCCACTTGACCAACCGCATAAGCTACTTGCCGGTCGTGTCAGCTTGAAATTATCGCGGACCAGGGGATTACGGGCAGGCTACTTCGTAACAGATGGTCTTCTGTCGACTTTCACTCCACTGACTCCAGTCTCTCTCCTTGCTGAGCCCTCGAAGGCGGGGGAGAGGGAGGCGGAGGGGCCACCTAACCTTATGGCACAGCGCTCAATACCACGGGGCCAGAGCTTAAACCACTCATCGTCCAGCCTTATTGGGCATTCGGACGAAGTGATAATGCGGGTAGTGTGAATTTTATGGAAGTCATTATGTTTATTTCATTTGAACTCCTACCACAATGAAGGTTCACTTTAATGCAGTCACCTGCGAATTTCGATATTACCACTAAAGCGCTTAGCGCGGTTCTCGACAAGCACTAGGAATTGCATACTAGCTCTGCTAGCTGATTTGGCCGACTGTCCAAACTTACTTCAAGTTATTCGTCAGTTTTTATTCTTCCATTTCCAACTCTGTACCATAGCGAACCATGCTATTAAATTTTGTGCTGCCCTCAAGTTGATTTACTCAATTTTGTGTTATAGCTTCGCTAATTGACCCTAATCTGAGGTATCCCAATTAAGGATGCAGGTATATGTAGCTTTTAATCCAAACTCAAATGAGTTCGTAGAATTGTACCAATTGGGTCATAAAATAATCGTGTCTGTTAATTTTTTAAAAAAAATAATTTATAGGTAAACATATGAGGGGTTTGTTTTCTTTTATAAGGGATGTTGTTTCAGAGACCAGTCAATGTCTAACGGATACCCACCATGAAGGGGGAAGGATGGAAGAGCTAGCGGTAAATGTGAGAGGGGATTCGCAATGAGGTGGAACCGTTCCCCTCACATTGCGCCCCCACGTTAAGCCTTCCACGCGTCACATAATAGAAAAACAAATCAGGCATGACAGTTCTGCAGTCCCACTTAGTGAATATTTTCTCCAAATCACAGTCATTTCAAGTTTTCTGCATGTTCTGTTACTGGAGAAACCGATAGCAATGTACTCTCATGGCTAACAATCTCTCCTAGACCGAGTTTCAAACAAACTGCCAGGCTGATAGTAATCCGAGATTGGCCGGCGACAACTTGAGTGTGATTGGCGCACTTTGTTCCCGCCTACAGAGCCCGACAAATATAGTCGAATACACATTTTTCTTCTTACTTCCCAGTTGCTGCACGCTGCTTTTACTTGATTTAAATTCTCTTAGTTGTTTCCACACATTGCTGAGTTGCTGGTGTAGCACCTGCGGTGCTAATCAGTCTTTTCTGACCCTTGAACTTACATCGTCACCAAGAGTTCTCCCCGATCCTGTTGTGTCTACGAAAAACTAACCTGCCCTTTACCGGTATTGTCTTGAGTAACGTAATCCATTTTTACGAGATAGCTTTCCAACAAAGTTGAATTGAAAGGTGTAATTTTATATGAAATTCGAGCGTCAATTCAAAGGTAATACTGGTGAATGTTTATACATCGTTTGGTGGATTTTAGCTACGGGAATCCTGGGGTTTTTTAAGCAGGCAGGCCCCCGTTGCACAGATCGTGTGATAGCAGTAAATTCACATGAGGCAGTGTTCACAGAACAAGTTCACGAGGATAATTAAATGCTTAATTCACTGAATTCACTCTTTCCATCATTCCCAACGGATGGGTGATTATCATTAAGGCTCAACGGGTTGATTTTATTCACACCCAAACTCAGCTTCCGCCCCCCCCCCTGCTGTTAGCACTTTGAAAGGCGCTTACCTGTTGTCTCGGGGCGATTTCACGCAGGGCTCGCACGCAGGGGATTCCGTTTACAAGACCGGCGGCTATGCAAATGTGTGGAGTATGCAAATAAGTGGCGGAAGCTCGACTAGGAAGGGGTGGAAGCAGAGGGGTACTTCTATGATCGAAAGTAAATGTATTCCAATTCTAAGCCAAGATAATTAACGGTGACAAAACGCAGGACTAGAGATCATTTCCAGGACCTGCTCGGGCAAGCAGGAGGTTGTGGGCTCAGGTCGCTTGTGTGTGTGTGTGTGTGGAAGCATTCCCATACGCAAAGTGCTGCTCTCGATCAGCTTCCCCATATTCACATTCCCGAAATTCTAAAGGAGAGCTCCAAACCAACAAATAACGCGACCAATTTACTTCCCTCAATTGTGCCCTAAAATTTCATTAAGTTCTGCAATACTCTCGGAAACCTAAACTATTCATTATTTAATTAGGAATCTTCCCTTTATCCATTCCAAATTCTGTGGACGATGAAAGTGGCTTCTCTTTCATAAAATTCCCGCATAAATGCCTTAGGTGGCATGTGTAATTGTAGGATATTTAGCTGTTTTATCTATAGTTTAACAACTCACAGCGGCCAAAATCTGTAAAGAACTAGCTACCTTCCACTTATTCTTTAGAACTTCATCTGAAAAACCAGGAAACCTAACTTCCAGCAACATAAGTGTTGTTGAGATAAACTTAGGATGTTCAACAATTTTCTTGAGAAATTACGCCAACATACAGGTGTTGTGCCATGTTGCTGCCAACCCGGATGAAGGATTGGCATGGAGAGAAAGTAAAAAGGGAAGGAATCGACACGACTATTTGCTGGTTCACAACTGAGTCCGAGTACCATAGCATTCTTTAGATACTGGAACGATTTTTGACGCCTTCGATTTCGTCTAATCAGGAACTCAATTATTCAGAAGCGTAGTCGTTGGATTTAGAACTACTCGAAGCTTCAGGGCATCATCCTTTTGTGAGATTGGTTTAAGTTCTCTAAAATCGGCCCCGTTTGAACCGCAGTTTTATATAGGTGGTAGGTAAAATCAGTTTTGAAACCGACTCTTATGGCTTATCACCGTCTTCATTTTTAATCTCGTATTGTTTATCTTATTGTTTATTGATATGCAGATTAGTGATGCTTAAAATAAGTTTACCAGTAATTACTGATAGGCTTAATTGGAAACAGCATTTTCACACTAAGGTGGTTTTACAAAAAATATTTTGTTTGAAGAACTTTCACTCCAACATTTCCAGTCTCCTTCAAATGTACAATACCGCTTCCCATTAGCACGACTGTCACTTCTTCTGTACTTTATGAAGCCATGTTGCAGCTCAGTGGGTCTTAGATATCAGAAAGTTGAGTCACTATCCTGGAAGATCCTTCCTCACTCGGCTATAATTGGCCCTGTACTATTACTGGAGAAGACAAATCAGCGAGAACGCACACTCTCTTGATATTTCTAAAAGTAAAACCTAATGTGACAACGAAAAAATCTATGCAGCTTCCCCAAATCTCTGTGATGCCCGACTCTCGAAATGTTTCTAACCTCTGGGTTACTTCAGTTGGTCGAAACCTGTGGAAACGTCCTCTATCAGGAGGTGGATCGCCGGAGTGGTTACTACCTTGTGATAATAATTTGATGGTGACCTGGACATAAGTGACGGAAAATATTCTACTGAAAAGAACACTCCTTCAAAATCCTCCTAATGCTGAGTTACGTTCCTATACTGAATAGCAATATTGTCCGCAAGTCTGTTTTAAGGCGAGCGCCCCCCCCCTCCTACAACCGTCACCCCTGACACCGGCCACCGCCTCTCCCCCCTCCACCACGGACACAGGCCGCCCTCGACGTTAAAAAGAGGGTACAAGTAGCAAAAAAATCTTTACTAGGCAAAACGTGGGGATACATGTGTACGTATCTCAATATAAAGGCACACAATAATTAAAATGCGTCTAAGGATGCAAGATCTGAGTTAAAAAAAGATAATATGTTCATAAAAATAGAAATAAGAGTGCTAAAATGTCCTTGTTCTTTACGCCTCCTCATTTTCTGTAGCTCCTAAGCATTGTTCCGAGAAGTTCTACCCCTACAGTTACATCAAATGGCTCACGGCACTTTCATCGGAATGGCGTCGAAGTTGCGTCGAAGTCAGAAACCCATATTCGAGTGGGTTGGGGTATGAGTTCTTGATGTTTCAGATTAACGAAGCTGCTTTCATAGCCACTGTCGGGAGTGGCCGTGGTAAATTTAAATGCTGTTTGGGATCCAGGTGACGGTTCGTCTAAACGAGCTGGAAAGATTGGTGAAAGTCGTTCCTGTTGTTGCGATGATGACGATGTTGCCAATGTTGAAGAAACACCCCCCAAGCCTGTGCCCACCACCCCACCATCCGCTACTGTTGATGCTACATCTTCATGAAGAACCCGCTCTAAGTGTTCTATGTACCAAATCGCCTTTTTCAGTGTAGAAATCTTGCTCAGATGTTCCCCCTCGCGTTTCGGGACCACAGCACGAAGTCGTTCGAAGCCTAGGTTGAGTAGATGAACCCGATTTCTTTCACGTTCGTTTCTGCGTGAAAGCATGTTTGGTGCATATGATTTCCTTGGTTTCCTTATGACGCCCGGTTTTCCCCTCCTAATAGGGGTATTCTCCTTGTCCTCTTCGCCCTCAGAATGATGCACATATTTCAGAGAGGAAGACGATGAAGGTATTGACGAGACCGTAGGTTGCCAAGGGCGCAGCGGCATTGTAGCAGACTTTCGACAGTAGTGGGGTGGTGGGCACAGAGATCAAATTGCTTGGGGTGGGATTTGAAAAGGGCTCGAGTATGAACCAACATGACGATGTAGCGGTATTTATAGATACCTGGTTTTGGAAATCAAGCGGACAAGTCGTCTACGTCTGTCACGTCATTGGTTAGACGGCCGAAATAGTGAACCAATCGCTTGCGTGCACGTGCGCTGCTTGTCGCGTGCCCACGGGTTAACAAATGGCACGAGAACAGAGAATGTCGTGAACAATTTTGAACAGCTCGATGGTCTTTCATGCCGAATTCCTTAAATTGAGTAAAAAGAAAACTCATATCTTTGAATGAATTAGCCCAAATAGAAAAGGTGTGCGTGAGACGTCAAATTTATTGTACTGTCCAGTCTGTTTGAAACTGAATAACGACTAGTACCTGCTATAGTCGTCACTACAAATTAAACTACCTAATACGACAAAATGCCTCTTCTGAAGGTAGATATCGAGGTTCAAAAGCCAGAACGATGACGCTCATCGCCAGGCTAATGGAAGTTCACAGACAGCTCAAGGATTATGGGCCGCTCCTCTACATTTCCTCTGTGTAGAACTTTCAAAGTACTCTTTATTTGACGTTGCAAAGCACTTTAATAAATGTAAATATGTAGCATGACAGGGGTCGCCCAAGGTTACTTAGATAACTTGTATTATTTGACAAGTTTCTACAGAAATAAATTTCCAAGCCACCAAAAATGGTACGGTTCTGCAATACAAAACCTCTACTTTAAAATCGCGTTTGAAAGGGACTATAAATGTCAGTGTATTTATGCTTTATATTGCCAAGATCAGTATCGGTAACAGGATTTTTATCATTTAACATTCAAAGTGACCGTACTAGGAAGTTTGGAGACACAAATTTCGCTGATTTGATGCAACTTCTCTAATTTTGGGTTAACTGGGCCATTTATTTAAGAATATTATCTGAAGCTGTCAAAATGGCACTAAGTTATGGCGAAACGCTTTCCAATCTGCATTTTACTAGGACTTCGTTGGAAGCCTAATCGGATTCGAACCCTGTTGACCATTCACACTCGAGACTGGCCCGCTCCACTAAGACTCGAACGTCAACGTGCGGAGCAATTTGCTTCTTTGTCAAATACCGATAAACACCCACAAGAGCTTTGTCTTGGGCACAAGAGTTGCAGGTGGCGCTCAATTCAAAAGGCATGAACATTTTGGGCTCTATGAGCATTTCTATTTGAATTCCAAAGCTCAAATAGTCAACACATGTGACTTGAATTATGTGTCTCAAAGTTGGTTCAGCGTGTGATTGACAGCTTAAATGTGAAATGTACATCCTTTCTCATTTTAATCAGATATAGGCTGTGAGGACTGAGTGCGCATCTGAGTTGTGGACACAACCTGTTACCATGGTCCTGAAAATGTAATTAGTCATTGTACATACGGGTATCACAACTGTCCTGTCCCATCCCGGTGAATGGTGAGTTTGTCTCAATGCAAGTACCAAACGATGAGTAAAAGTTCAAGAACGGATTAGAGGCTAATGCAGTGAATAGCGGAATATAATGCCGATTTAATTAATCCCAATCTGCTGTAATTAATTACAACGATTCTCCAGGCCAAATATAAATAACGCCTGATGATACATTGGCTAGAGTATTTTTCCACTTTGTCAACATTTCCAATGTATGTGCGTGTGCCATCTACGAACACTGATGGCTGATACTTTTGTTAATGTGATCACTCGGCGTATATCAAGGCCAGATCAAATTATCAAAAAAGGCCGAGTTCGCTTAACCTATCAGAAAAATAACTGAATGACATTTCCCAGTTCCAATGCAGTACAAATAGGGGTGCGGGAAGGAAGAATGCATAGGTAGTAGATCGGTTGAAATGTCGCTTGGTCGAATGTGATTTTCTTAAGGACCAATGTGAAGGTGCCAACATTTAGTCTGTGTCTTATTTCACCTTCCAAGTTAACACTTCATCTTCTTCAGTGGACTGACTTGTATAACTTAAATATTAAAGCATATTTGAGAGCAGGCATACCAAAAATTACACACTCCGCTTAGAAAACCCTACTTGATTACCGGGAACCCTGTATTCCAATTTGTATTTGCAAAACTAACTAAAATCATCATTGACTTGGTGAAGAAATACAGCCTTCGTTTCTTCCAGTGATTTGAAAGTTAAACATCACTAATTAGGATTACCGGTGCGTAGAATGTTTAATGTAAAGCATGGGTTTTTAAGACCGAGTGGCAAATTTGAGGTCCTTTTGGTGTGGAAAGCGCTGTCTTACTGTGCCAGGAGGTCTCTGCTTCTGTCAAAAATATTGGTAATTTTTTAAAACTGTTGTCTCTTAGTTCGAAAGTGAACATAAACTGTGGGCATTTTCAAATCCATTTGGTGGTATGTTTTGGTGTAAAATTTACGGAGGATGCAATTGCGACTTCAGCCTTAAAAGCTTCAGGTTCATTTTCAACACTGCGGCCATGAAAATATCTTGCTGCCACTAGTCACCACATTCTGACAAAGGCATTGACCTCAACTGACAGACTTCGAAGGCAATTAATTTACTAAAATTAATGACTTTCCTTTGTTTCTCTCCAAACCAAAACCGGAGATCAGACGTGTTGTCTGCACTACCTTGCCAAAACAAATAACAGTCACTTTTTATGTTTACCAGAGCTCTGGTTGAAATTAAAACAAATTCCAGGACAGAATACCAGGGAGTTTATTTCCCAGTAATTCCATCAATCCATGGAAAGTATCCACAGCCTCACGGCGGGAACCTCACAGCCATTATCGATCATGAACCACTTAGCGACGGGAAAGAATGCGGGCAGGACTGTGACGAGGACGTGACAGAGGGGGGATGGCTTATTCCTTTCCCAAGTTTTACCCCCTGTTGATTGCATGCATCCGCACCCATACACTTCCGTATTAATGGGGTGGGGTACTGCTTCCAGGCGTGTTTACTTGATGACCGCTACCAGCATGGGACAACACGACAGGGGTGGTGAGGATGGTACACCTGTGTGCAACACACGGGATGATACTCGGTGTTAAGCCTGAACAATGGGGCCTGCCTTCTTCTTAATTAACATATTTTTTGTCGTTTCGCAGGTCGCAATAAGGAGAACAAAGCTATACTGTTAACACTAACCCAGTACAGGTAATCACGAGCACGATTGGCTTAGTTATCCGCAGTAGCTAAAAAGTAATTATGTCTAGTAAACAAACTATTTTAAAATCAACCTTATGGAACCATCGATGTATGAAATGGAACTACGTGTAGCTACGGATGCTGTGACGTAAAACAGCATTAAACCCACCGTTAAGCAACCATGATGATAAATCTACAAATTTAGTAAGATTTGCCTGCTTCGACCTACTTTCGAATTTATGATTTGGGCCAACATTTTGTCATAAAGGCAAACGGGCGGTGGTCTGGATTAGTGTTTGAAAGGAGATCATGGTTTGCTTCAAAAGAATTTAGTCATCAAATTGCAAACTCCCATACATTTAACAGCATGGTGACTGATTGACTCAGCTAAGAGAGGGGTACAAACAATTGTGCCCTTAAAATATGGATTAGGGGTTTCTAAGCGAAGTGCGACGACCATTACCTACCCAGACAAATAAACTGCTGTTTGGTCTGGATGAGGAAACCTAGTCTTTATAACTAACTGCCAGTGTGTACCAACAAACGTGTTCCTTAACGCGAGTGCGTATCGGAACCTGTTACCTTAATTACTCTTTTCATTTAATTATTACGACCAGCTGTTATGAGGTACAACTTGGACGGTAAGTGGATAAATAGGAAGACCTGACAGACTGAAACAGCAACAGTTCCACTGAAAGTAATGGGAGCCCGAGAATGCAGTTTGTCGGTGAAGAGCTTGTGGTGAGCAGCACGCGAACGGACATGATTCAGTTGATTTACGTGAACGAACTCCACCTAACTATGTTCGTTCAGGGATCGACGTTTAGCAAGGCTATATAAACGTACTTGTTATATTGTACACACACACCGCTGCATCAATAAATTAGTTGAGCTACGAGCCGTCAGCATTTTCTGCTCTTTTTCCGGTCGGGCCGTGTCAGTGTAGATTTTCGGCCCTGGTGTGGTTTCTAAAACCGCGCCGGGGCCCACTACAAGCTATCGTCCTTATATAAAATCAGATAGACCCAATGTGCATTGTTAGACTGCTTAAAATGTGAGAATAGATCACGTATAATTCAAATTTCAATCAAGAACATGGTGGGCTAGGTTGTGGACTGCCCGCTGTACTGGTCTGGCTGCTACATTTTGGTAGTAGAGTAGCACCTGGAAGCATATCTGCACAGACGGTAGATCGCCTATGAGCAAAACGACGGAGCGCTGAGTAATCGCACAAGTTAATCAAAATCTCATGCAACAGATTTTAAATAAAAATTCGTTTGTTTCAGGGTTTTTAGCTTCGTCTGACCTCAAAGCAGCCCCGAGTACCGTGTTTTTGCCAACTCCGATGAAGGAATGGAATGAAAAAAAGGGAAAAAGGAAGGAATTAAACATGACAACCTAATATTTCTAGAAAGAGTTCATCTGCATACCACAGGATTCTTCAAATATTACAGCAGGAATAGTGTACAGTACATTAATACTCTCCAGTATTAGTTGTTAATTGCGTGTAGGAACTTGTCGTGTTCACCCGTGCGGTAGCATGACTACCTTTATGGGTGCAGACACAAGGAAAACCTATTGGAATGAGCTTGTGAAAGCACGCAAGACCTTATTTATTGTCCTTCACTTCTTTAAAATAAGTCAGACGCTAGTCAAATTATTTTTTGATGAAAATATGGACTCATTGAGAACTCCTTAAATTGTACATACAATAACCTGAATGTTATGAATAACACATGCACATGTCTTTTTTAAAAGTTTGCGAACGATCGTTCCGACTTATTTAAAATTCAGACATGCCTGCATTTGGCATGCTAA